ATTTCACTTTTTGTGACTTACATGAATTCACTGAAACTCGACTTATTGAAAGGTTTGTATTGAAAAAGAAAGCATTCCTTGACAAATAAAAAATGCAATAAACATTTGAAGGCCTGTCAGATGTGACCAAAACCGTGGACTCTTTGGACCGAAACATCGATTCAGTGGTGAGTCAAAGCCAACTGAAGGCGATGTCCCGCAAAAGGTTAGGAGAATTGATTGCTTTGGTTAACAATATTCGCGCGAAAAAGGGGTCAGAAATGGGTTCGCGAAACACTTTCGTCAGGAAACCGGATAACAGAGAGTATGCGACATGGCGATGTCCCGCAAAAGGTTAGGAGAATTGATTGCTTTGGTTAACAATATTCGCGCGAAAAAGGGGTCAGAAATGGGTTCGCGAAACACTTTCGTCAGGAAACCGGATAACAGAGAGTATGCGACACTATATAGCGATCGTAACGACAGTCTCATTGAAGCCAATGTCAACGAAAACGACGGCTCGTCTAATGTGGAAATATTTGCCGATTCTTACGGCAAAGAAGACCCCAAAGTCTATCTCATTAAAGACGACTAGATTTTGTGTACAATTTGATAACATATTTGATTTTGTATTATGACAATAATCTTTTGTACAAATGTTTGAAATCTCAAATAAAGTTTTAATGAGAGAATGAATTGAAAAAATAATTGAAAATAATTTCCTTTGGATTTGGGATCTTTTAGTTTGAGATCTTCAGGTTATGGCTCTTGTGGTTGATTACTTCGTAGTTGTGTCACATCTGTGCCGCTACCAGATCTCTGGGATTCAGCTGTTTCCTCGGATTCACCCGAATTCGGATCCTCACTATTATCTGCCTGTCCCTCCGCATCGTTGTCATCAAATTTGATGGAAAACGTTTCCTTTAGTTCGGGATTTGAATCCTCTTTCTTCTCCTTTTTGTCTTCATTTGTTTTCCCAGTTTTAGTGGATTTAGGCCTTTGTTTATCTCTAATCATAAGTTTCAACTCTTTTGAATATCCAACCCTAAATGTCGAGTACACTATGATTGAGATAATAATCAATGCGATGATGAATATAAAGACCAGAATATAGTGAACCCAATAATATGAGGGTTTGTTGTCGTGAATCTCATTTGTATTGATCACATCTGAATTTTGTGGTGATCTACTAGTTCCTAATGTTATGCAATTGGCAGCAATCAATACTATTATGAATAGACTATAGCTTATATTCATTGTCATATTCAAGACTAAATTGAATAGATTTTATGATAAAAAGTCATCAAAAGTTTTTCAAATACGGAATAATCGCTAATACAGTAATAGTAACGATGAAACTAAACAAAAATTTAAAAATTATATCAAATCACGAGACAAAATGTACAAAAATAATCTTTTATGTATTAACTTAACTTGAACTTGTATTAACTATCATAGAGTAATGTTACTCATAATAAAATTGCTATTCTTAAAAGTTGATGTAAAATAAATATTTATTAAGATAATTATACCAGTATACTGTAGTAACAAAATATTTTTCAACTACAATATACCATTTAATATTTAATGGCTCATTTATTGAACACTAATTTTTAAAAGTTTTCCAATAGGCAAAGTCAATTATAAAACTTCCAGAATATTCCAGTAATCATATACTTTACAATAATGATTTAATCTAACCTTTAACTCTATTTTACAATTAATGGAGTTTAAATGATTTAAAAGTAATACTTAATATAAAAGTTCAGAGTAAATGATATTAAAAGATAAAACTTTTAACATATTAACAGATATAGAAGTATTATGTTTTAATCACTATATTAAAAACTATTTAAAAACGAACTTATAATACTGTATGATAAGCCTCATAAAGGTGTAAAACTTTTAATAATTTTAAGACACTGCTCATTGTTTACAAGTTAAGTTGAGGACTTGGGACTCCTATAAAAGGCACAGGACTTAGTTTTCTTCTTTCATTCCCAAGTCTTCTCTCAAAGAGTTAATTTGAATTGTCTTTCACTCAGTTATTGAAGTCTAATACAACTATTTTATACTCTATTATACATTAAAGTTTTTGTCAAATAAACCACATTTTCTTAACTGCAGTGATGTCTCAATCCAATGAATACAACTTCTTTGTACTCTTGATGCGAATTCCTATAATCAGTTCGTGTATAAAGAATGGCACAAAAGTCTACTACGATATCAAAGGCTGCAACTCCTATATGAAGTCAACACTCGGATCACTGGAACAGACGGTCGATAACGTGAAGAGCTCTGAAACGATGTCCAAAATAAAAACCATTACTAAGCCATTGATGATCGTCGACGGCCTCGCCTGCAATGGTCTCCAAATGCTTCAAACCAAATATCCGGTGATTTTTATTACGCCCGAAGACTTCAAAGTGGAGGCGCTCAAGAAAATGGAGGACTTGAGGGGATATGGGACTCAAAAGTTGGGTCAGGCGTGGGAACTGGTCGGTCAACACAGAGGCCAAGTCATGGAGAAGTTCTGGCATCTAATCGACATTATAATCGGCAGTAAAGTGAGCTTTTATGTGGACTTAATTGACAAGAAAGTGGATCACTATATGCCTCCCGACCAAAGCGATAGTCCGATGGAATTGTCCGATGAGAACATGTTTGCCAGAGTGTCGGGCCTTTCATCCAAAATCCGAAACCGAGTCACTCAGAGGTATCAGCGCCTGGTCCTGAAAGTGATGTGGGCTCAAAACTAAACGCTTTGAATCGTATACTTTGTAACTCTTATATTAATTTTTGTTTAAAATTTCGAGATTTAATACTTTTATATAACATGCTTTTTCATATCTACTTAATAATATAAATCCAGTGTAAAAATGCTTTTAATGCAAATTAAGTTTTGTAACATGTTTAAATGTAATCTCAATTGAATGTCTGTTTTTAATAAAACTTAATTTTATTCCATTTTTAACTAAGCATTCAATTGAGTTATTATATAAAATGCAAACACCAAGGCAAATTATAAGTCTAAGCGATTGTGAAATAATAGAGACCTACTCCTGAAGTTATCTCTAATTTGCTGAAAAGCCTTTTGACGAAAGTATTCCTCTTTGAAGCACTTCTTCCACTTCTTTCCAGACTGTTGGGCCTTAATGTAAGGGATGGCCTGATATTGGTGTCGAAATTTATTCTTCCAAATCAAGTCATTATCACAGATATAGCGCCAGAATCTACTCGTTTGCGACAATTGTATGATTGAATTGTACGGTAAGTATGAGATTACTGTTAGACATAACTCTTCGGGCAAATCATTAATACCGTGCGACAAGAGTTGAGTTAATTTGTGAATGAATTCATTTTCAAATCTAATGATAATTGATTCTTGAGTTTCTTTCATCCAATTGAATGCAATGGCAATACTGTCCATAAGGTATGGCACATAAGCGGTGCAATGCATGGCAAACGACATTAGAGGTACGGACACTAACTCTACCCATACATCACTGCATATCCGACGACTTTTGTATTTGTAATATATTTTGATTCTCTGGTCATTAATATCTAAGCTTAAGCGGTGCAATGCATGGCAAACGACATTAGAGGTACGGACACTAACTCTACCCATACATCACTGCATATCCGACGACTTTTGTATTTGTAATATATTTTGATTCTCTGGTCATTAATATCTAAGCTATCGGTTTGGCACTCAAACCCATACCTAATTAACATAGGGTTTAGGTCTTCAAATAAAATTCTAACCAATGGATTGTTTTGTGAATTTTGTGTCATTTTTAAAAGATATATGAATTGAGTTAGTTATTTGAAATAAGTTTCATGAATATAGTAATTTTTAAAATTCAATTAACAGCTCGAGATAAAATTTATAACCATAAAAAATAATGAATAATTTATTTAATAAATAACAATTAAATTATTTAAACAAAATATAAACTAAAAATTATTTCAAAGATCTTTTTGAACATGTGTTCCGTCGGTAAACTCTACTTCATATACTTTGAAGTCATAGACTCTCATCCGGGACACCTTTCTATCACTCTGACCACTATTTCTGATGGCCTGTTGGACAACATTATCAGTGGGTTTATCGCAACCGGATTTATGCCCGGAATTAGAGTCAAATACTTTAGCCATTTCTGCAAACTTGGAGGCCATGGACTTAAAGTCTAAGTCCACTGCTTTTACAGAAATTTGTGGCTCAACTGTACTTGATCCAACTTTATGATCATCATCCATAAGAGGAGGTTTCCAGATATGATCCTCGACACTCTCTGTCGTTAATCCTTGAGGTTTCGTAAAGCCTTTAAGGATAGTTTGACTCAATTTCTTGTACTCATTAGCCTTTGAAATATCTATTGATTGGGAATGAATGATACATTCATATGAAATGACAAATAAGTCTCAATCCTTACTCGACTGAAGTTGCAAAAGTGTTTTGTTTAGCAAATGTGACTTAAGTATTGAATCAAAATTCTCTCGTATTTTCTTAGCGTTTAGTTTCTCGACTGTAACAATGAATGCATTATTTTCGTGTTATTCATGTAATCAAAGGCTTAATTAAAGACTTTTACTCATTTAAAAATCATACATTAATTATAACAATCTTCTACTAAACTGCTAATATTATCGTGTAAATTGTTCTAGCTTATATTTAATGAATGCCTACTCTCTATCCCATACGTTAATTATCTGTGCACTTAAACTCATGTTTATTTAATTTAATCATTTGCTAATGTATTTCATTAAAAGTGTTAATAGTCTGCGAGTATTTAGACTTAAAGAAATTGCTATTAATATTAATGATGTCTAATATGAGGATATTTAGCAAAAAACTTTTTACTCATTTTACTAATTAGATTGTAATCCATTTGCCCATAAATTCACTTAAAATGCATCAAACATAATCCACACTTTTAATGAGCAATTATTTGCCATGAATATATAAATAGCACTTTTTATGTGCAATTCTGTGCTTACAATTCTGGTCGTCCACCTGTGCCTTCGCCCTCTCGATCATACTGTCCAATGAATTCACTATTTTTGTCTTTTTAATAGTTGTCTCGAGATTCTGATAATTCTTTATAACTCGTTGGCATTCCTTTGAGTAATATTTAGTGTAATTTAATTTTTGGATCCGTTTTATGTCAGCGACGGTCAGATGACACTTCTTCACGACTGACGGACTCTTATCTGGGGTTTGATCTGTGTTTTCAGTGGAAATACATTTAATCTATTCGTTAGTATTTGACATTATTTTTGGATCCGTTTTATGTCAGCGACGGTCAGATGACACTTCTTCACGACTGACGGACTCTTATCTGGGGTTTGATCTGTGTTTTCAGTGGAAATACATTTAATCTATTCGTTAGTATTTGACATCTTTGTGAAGGGGTATACTTTTAGCCGGTGGAGAATTGTTGCCAACAATTAAATCAATTTATATAAATTTGGCTTAATTGTAGTTTATTGTCTGGTTAGGGTATGTGTTACAATTGTTTAGTATTGTTTTGTATGTTATCGGTTACAATAGTGAGCAATACAATACAATATTGCGTGTTTTAAACATATTTT